GTTCATCATCCTTGTATAATTGTCGCAATGAATCCTTCCAGTGGGATGGGTGGGGTCTTTCTGATTCTCATTTCCCGTTCTACTACGGTAGTTGCACCCAAATTGACCATAAAAACAGCACAAGCTACTGGTCGCTTGGGTATAGTTTCTACCTCTCTAAAACCGAGAGGAAAGAGCAGACCATCTCTGACGAGGCAGACTCCTTGATGGTCAAGCGCAGTTCACGTATGGCTGCGTTCATACTTTTCGTCTGCGTTTCGGACAAGAAGGAAAGCATAGTTTCCGGTCTAGCGATTTGGTAGAAACGCTTGCGTTCTCCCAAAACGATTGAAATGCTCAGAATGCAGGCGAAAAGTATGGGGGGGGCCTATCTGATTCCCTTCGATTCTGTGTATCCAAACTAGAGGTGAAATATGGTGATTGGGATCTGTTCGCGTTTCTAGGGATTCCTTTCCAATCCGTTGATTTTAATTGTTTATTGTTTATTGTATGACAGTCAGTCAACAGAACGGGCACCGCCAGGAAAAGCAACAAAAACATCTTAAGTGACATCTAGGAAAAGCTAAAAACATAAAAAGTAAAGATAAAGAATAAAAACTGAGAACTTAATAGAGAACATAGATAGATAAGGACCTTATTAACCAATCCGTATGAGGACAACACTTAACGACCCTAACGTAGCTAAGGCACACGAAAAAAGTGGGCCTTCGAAACAAAATTCAGGTATAAAACAGCAAATGTGACGTTCTTTCCAGACTTCCAAATCATATGCTGCAGAGTTGGTTGAGAAGTGCCTCGATCAGTGCCTGGAATGGTTAGAGGTCAGCGTTTTGATAATATCAGAATAGCATTGGGTGAAGAAATGTGCTTGCTGTTAAGGAACCAGTCCGGAATGAGCAGCGACGTCTAGCATCAGTATTGCTCGCCAGAGAGCTTGCTATGTTTTACGTCAACGTCGTTTTTTCTTCGTGCCAATGTGTTCTTCAAAAGTATTTTCACAGTACTCAGGGATCCAAAGGTAACGAGTTTCGCTGAAGATTGCACTGCATTGTTGTCTCAGTTTGAGCTTTGGATTTAAGTCCTTTAGAGCTCATTTTTTATATTCATCAAGTATGTCCGACTTTTTTGTAAAACTTGTTCCTTACTTAATTATGGTCGACCAACATAATGCTCAAGAACTGTCCAGAGCTGTTGTCCCAATAGGTAGACGACAGTGTTTTCTGAGTTCATAATATAAGTCGAAAATTTACGGTACGGTATATGCGAGACCGGTTAGAGAATGTGCGAATTTTCAGCCACAAATCCGAATCGCATCTATCAACGCTCTTCATGCAGCCCTGACCATAACTTCAGCACGGGAGGCCAAGCTCAAGACAGAATGGTACACGGTAAGTTCGATCCCTAGAAGCTCGATCATGTCATGCTTCGAACTTTGGGCCAGTTTTCCAGCATTATTGTAAGACGGGCGGCGGTGGTGTAGTGACAAGTTGCAGACTCACTACGCGCCCGGTCCGGTATCATGTCGGATTGGCTCCTGCCCAGGCCCTCTGCCGTCTGCCCTCCGGATACGCTAAATTGGTACCAGAGAAGTTCGAAAGGATAGAACCACTGACCTTACATCGTGGTCCCTGCAAGTAATTATGTGCTCTATATCGCATTCAATAATCCCCTACATTTCGAATATAGGCAGAATACAACGCGCACTCAAAGGGACTGATCTATCAGGAAAACTGCCCTTTATCTTACTATCATTGAAGAGGTTCCTTTTATTGATGATTCCCCATTGCGTTTCCCTGCTTTGTTCGATTTTGACATCCTCGGAATATCTATTTAGACGCCTTTTCATTAGGATTAAGTCCTCCAATGCGCTTATCTCGAACATCAAATTGGTTCTTGGTGCTGGCATTAATAACGAGTGCAACACTCCTGATCAGAGTAGTGAGTAGCAACCCCTTTTGTCAGAGGTGAGCACCAAAAAATGAGATTTTAGGCTCATAGAGTGGTATGTCGACTTCTGCATTGGATTTGGAAACGGCTCAGATAAAAAAAATTATACGCAAACTACTCTTGCATTCCATACGCAGTGTTCTAATTTACAGACACGAAATGGCGATACCAAATTGTTTTTACTTTGTTTCGAGTGGTGCTTATTAGCCTTATTATAGAAATGCTACAATGAAGCACTAAACACTATGAGAGTCACCGAACTATCCAAGGACGACCGTACCCATTCCATGCTGCTGGTCAGTTTCAACGATTTCTTCCTCAACGCTCAGACTTTATCCGTGGAAATATCTTTTGTATACTATTTTTACCGTTAATTACGTCTCTTGAAGGTCATAAATGAGTTAGTTCGAATTGCTGATGCAACATTTGAGCGGACGCGTTTGGAAGCACTCGACATTCATCAAACTGAGACATCGATAGCAGCCCCTATTGATTGGCTTAACGCAGCCAAGGTAAAGCTTTTTTGTCGCTTCATGACTGGTATCGTTACTGTAAACATTATCATGCCACAGCTGCTTTCTAGTAGCTTATTTTTTACTAACGTGTTCCTACTTTTTTTACTAGTATATTCTAGTAGTCACGGATGAGATACTGTGCTTAAAGTTTCATTTAGTTTTTTCAATGAAGAGGTATACTGAAAGATTTGTTTTTAGGGTGGCTAGTACCGTTGAAAGCAGCACAGCTCGTGCCCTTGTCATAGCTAACTTTGCCGAGGTTTGTTTATCTCTTCATGATGGTCAATTGAAAAAGGCTGCCACAAGATTTGTCTGGTCTGGTATCACTTTATAGGTTGATAGAACCTGCTTATTTCCTCGAGGTATCATACATCTCTCTCAGATTTCCGTTTTTAGATTTGTGGACATGCTAAAGCAGCGGCGTTCAGTTGCAATCGATCCGTCCCGGTACATCAAACTTTGCTGGAACTTTTTCCTCGTCTATCAGCATGGGATCAGTGTGACCCAGCGCTGTGCAAGGTCATGTTCGAGCATGCGAAGAATATGTATGTTTTATGTTACCGGAAAATAGGCGATCTTATAGTGTTTCCAATATTTTGTTCAAAGTGTAGCAGGATATTCTGCTCAACCTAATACTATTTCTACAGCTCTGTTTGATTTCTAGAGTCCAGAAAAACGGAAACGCGCTTGTGGCTCTTGGTTTGTTGATGCTTCAAAATCCGGAGCGATTCCGCGGTAACATCGGGCAAATGATGATGGTGGTGACTGACATGCTGAATACTGCTGTTTCCAAGTAAGTTGAAAGTTAAGGAGTGAGAATGGGGTTTTGAAAATGAGATCGTGAAGCTTCTAACTCTCATTTGGAAATTTTCGAGTTATGCAACGAAAATTCGACAGTTTTTCAAATCAAATTTTCCCAGGAAACGTGCTCCGGAGCCATCTGTGTTCATCTTCCTGACCTTGTTTGTCAAGGCATACAAACAGTCAGTGATGAATGAAATAAAACAGCTATTCGGTCTACTATTCAAAACGGGTCTTTCCAAAGGTTTGTTAATCAGCTAACAACATTTCTAAATGTCTGATCATGAAACACTCAGGACTTCTGCTCTCCATAATGGCGTCTTCTAAAAGCACATTCGAATAGGACAGTTGCCAAGTAGTTTTCCCCATGTACGAGTGTCGTCCATTATACTTGTCTCAGTGACTCGCCTCTCCCAGCAAAGGGTGATTCTTATCAAATCGCCTGCTGCGCCTCACATAACTGCTGAAAATACTCGTCTGGAAGGTGCTCTTCATTGAAAGAACGCAGATGATTTATCAGAGATTTAGACTCAGAGATTTATGCAGTCTTGCTGTCAGAGTACGCTTTGTAACTCCCCTCCCTCCCCCCGCCCCCTTTTCTGGGATGCGCTACACTTTCTGCAGTTTGCTCCCACTTGCCTTCTTTCACATGTTTTTCCCCCCCTCGCTCTCTGGATTACTGCGTGAAGGAATCACACTTTTAACCTTTGGCTCGTCCCACTTCGGCGCACGCCACACCCACCATGAGTGGGCTTCACTTTTACCTCATGTATGTCTCGTACATCTTAGCCCATATCCCTCCTATCAATTTGCTCCTAAAACCCACTTGATTTCCTAACAGGTGAGATGGCAAAGGGAGCGGGGAAACGTGTTGCAAAAGGAATTTGAGGAGTGTTCGCATTTTACAAAAATGTCCCCAAGCACGACATGCACTGGCTACAGTAGCACTCAAAACCCATTTTTTTGGATTTTGATGATATTGGCAACAATGTAAAAAAGAAAAGTGCGGATTTAGCAGAAAAACGACAAATTCGAACGAAGCAAACTAGAAACCAGGAAGGTACACAATCTCCGATGATAAAAGGCAAGAGAAAAGAACAAAAGTAAGGACAGATGAGAAAATTTAATGTTTAATGCACTCACGAGGATCAACAACTCCAGCGCTAACTAGACTTCTCAGAACTCCATGAATAAGAGCTAATACCCATTGGCGATGTTCACGATGCACTTTTTCATATACCTAAACCACTGCAAGTGCACTTAATGCAACATCAGCTCTCCGAAGAGTTATGAGTATCTCAGAGTATATCCCACCTTCACAAACGGCTTCGAAATTGCCGCACAACACCTAACGGCGGCTAGACGCACCGCTACAGAATCACATAAAAAGATATCCCTGAAACAACACCCTTGTGGTCCCCGGATCAGCACCACCACATGCAGTATTCAGCAACTTACGTCGGAAATAAACTGCATAAACATCTCCAAGTAATGTCTTTGAAAATCAAATTCGCCAAGTGTATCCAATGCTAGTATCGTGAGGGGAACATTTGACACCTGCAAATTCGAAAGGTCGAAAACGAATACTTATCCAGCAGGCATTTCCAGAACGCTGTCTATGAAATTCGCAAAAAAACTTATGACCTGTAACGTTTGCGAAGGGAGAGCCGGCTTTTTCGAGGTGGATCGAGCTTACTTGGTAGAACACAACCTAGAACAGATTTTGATTGAATTTCAACTGAAATTGAGATGAATTGAGTGACAAACCCGTCAAAATCATGTACAACTCCTTCATCAATCCATCTTGCACATCCATTTGCAGTTGGCTGATATGGCGTACAATCTCATGCATAACACTCGTGAGACCTGAACATCTATGAGACCATATCACACGTTTTCAAAGGTCACTCCACTTTCTCAAACGAGCATGACCACTGATTTTCAGGAAATCAGCTATACCGAGGCACAGCGCAAAATCTTGTATATCATAGGATTGGCAGAAGTAAAGACGAG